TGCGCGGCCACACCGGGCGGACAGCGACCCACGGCCCCAGCGGGGAACGTGCTGCTTAGTGAACCCCACATAACAACGCTCGTTTTCCTTCTAAGATTCTGAGAGCGGAAACGCCCCGAGCGCGCGGAGCTCCGGGGCGACCTGTCAAAGCCCTGGGCGGTGACGGAGGCTCGGGGTTCTCCTCGGAGAACAGGGTCCTAGGGGGGCCCCCTCAGGGGCGTGTTTCACGAGCCATCGAAAACGCGACCGTCTTCGTCCACTGTCGTATTAAAACTTCCATCCGACGTGCTTTAATTTGCTGTTTGAGGTGGGATGAATGGATTTTTCTCGGAGCTATTTTTAGAGACGCGAAAGTCTACGGCTGGGCTCCCCACCCTTACCGGGGGACTTCTCAGCTGAAAGTGGGCTGGGCACCCCACTGGGACCCCACTGGGACCCCTGATGAGGGGTGAAACAGCTGCTCTACCTTTTGATAACTTGTTTTTCCAGGAAAGTTGTGGGTAATTTGCACGTGCTGTAAGTGGTTAACTTTTTTCTGATGACAGCTCCGCTGTCGTTTTTAGAAAAATCTGCATTGGTTTGTTTTTGTTTGTTTCCCACTAGACGACCCCCCTAGCGCCCCCACAGCGGGGGACGTTGTCCGGGACTAAGGTCTGTAGCCCGAGCCGCTCGCTCCATGTGCCACACGCTGCTGCTTGGCGTGCTCTGCCCGCGTGCTTCTGAGTCTGTGCTCAGGCGCAGCCGAGCGACCCTGTGTCACTGCTCTGCCGCATGTAGGCGTCACTGGAGTTTTGCTCGGAAGCACTCTGAGCGGCAGCGCCCCAAATTCGAGAGGTCGAGGTCAGTGGGTTGACGGCCGCTCAGACGGGCTACTCAGCAGCCTGGGTCCTTTTGGCCACCCTCTCCCGAGTGTCTCCTCTTGTCCGTGTCGTTTGCCTGTCGATTGGCTCGTCACTGAACCAGAGGATCAGTCAGCATGGAAACTTTTTGTCCTGAGCTTTAATTTTTAATTTTATAAAATTTAATTTTATACTTCAAGTGCAAGTTAACTGCATGCAGCTTCTTAACTTCTCGAGACCAAGAAAAGAAGTTTCCCCCCAGAGATCCTACACTGAATCCTCCGCAGCCTGGTCCGCTTACCTTTGCTTCTTCCACCCATGAGCTTTTTAAAGAGGCGCTGGGAGGCTCACCCGCGCCCTGCCCTCGGCCCACGTTTGGGTGGCGGCCCACGTTTGGGAGGCGGCCCACGTTTGGGTGGCGGCCCGCGTTTGGGTGGCAGCACGCCCTCAGCAGGCGTCCGGCCTCTGGGGCCAGCCTCAGGCCTCTAGTGGCTGCTCAGCCAGTGCTCACAGCGTGGGTCCCAGCCGGACCTTGAAACCGAAGGGGAGACAGGAATGCAGCCTCCGAGACGCGGGGGCAGGACCCGCGGGGGCCCACCTCCCCGACGCCCTGGAGATGAGCCAGAAGTCTGGGGCTGCCCTGCGAGGTGCAGGGCCACCCACGGAGGGAAGCGGCTCAGCCCTAATTCAGGCCGAGCCTTCGGACACTTCAGTATCTGGGACACAGCTCGTTCCCAGACCTTTCCTTCTACTGGGACGGCAGATTACGAACCAGAATTGTCTGTTTTTTAATGCCGTGGTTACCTGGGGTGTGTTTATTCCAGAAGGTGATTTTATCGATCTGCTTCAACACTAATGAAGCTCTGTACTATACGGTGGTCAGACAGGGAAAATTTATAGTAAAAACACTTTCCCTTAGGACGTGAGCTAAATACTTACACGTTCACACAGACGGATCCTCGAAAACAGGTGGTCCGTGTAGAGCACCTCACCTCCGAAGCCGGCGTGGGGCCGGGCACTAGGGAGGCTCAGGCCGCTGCTGCCAGCCAGGGTCGGCGGTGACACAGAGGCCTCTGCCGGCGTCTTGAGTCTCTTCGTCGTCGCTCTGAAAAGCTGGAGATGTTAGCTTAAACGTCTTGCTATCTTTAAAGTAATAGATTTTAGCACAGAGTGTTCTAATTTAAACATTTTATCAAACGATTTAGATGTATGACCTGCCATAATCAGTCAGGACTGAAATTGGAGTATGCGGTGGTAAGGAAAAGGCCCCTGATTGGCCGAAGCGCGTGGCTGCTCTGTGATCACGTGTGCACTAACGCCTGTCACTCACCGTCGGTGACGCCGCCTGCTCGCACCCCACTAACCGCATGCGCTCACGGAGCTGGGCTTCGTGTGTTCACGCTTGCTGCCAGTACTAACCGCGCGCACAGATGTGCGACAGCTGGTCGCAGGGCTGGCCTTCGTCCCCTTTCCCTTCCCTTCTTCCCTACCTGGGCAGGCCAGGGTGTGGTAGGGAGGACACGCCCCGAGTGGGACCTGCCTGTGACGTGGTGACGCTTGTGAGGGTTATCGCCGAAGGCGGCACATCAGGTAAAGCAGGAGAAGCCCCTTACGGTTCTTAGTATGTGTCTGGCGGGTCCAGAGACACGGTAGCTGTTTAGCATCACCTTCATCTGGAGAATATAGACCGTCTCGGTCACGTGTCCCAGTCGCGTGTCAGCGTGTCCGGAGCCCGTGCGTGCGTTCGGTGCTGGTGCAGCGCTTGGCAGGCCGAGATGACAGGCTCGCCTGGAAGCCCGGGGGCCCCGAGCCGCCGCCCCCCGAGCCGTGCTCGGACGAGCCACCCGTGGCGGTCACTAGAAGCGGACACGGTGTTCTCCGTCTGTAGGTAAACGCTTCGTGTGTCGCGATGCGGTTGAAAACCGAGCACAGGCGGCACAGCGAACGGGGGACTCGGGGTGGCGAGCGTGTCCGTCCGCAGTCGGAGCCGCGCCCCCTCCTGGCCGTGAAGGGCGGGGCCGCCATCGTCGGCGTGTGCAGGCCTCGCGCGTCTCGCTGCACGTGCCGTCAGGTGCCCTTTCCCGCGTCGGAGCGTGGTTTTTATGGCTGTCTCCCCGGGGACCGCGTGACATTTCGTTAAGCAGGTGCATCCATGCTCATAGGTGGTCGTTTAAGTGGCTTCTGCTTGCAGGTTATTTTTAGTAAGTAGCTGTCAGAATCACGTCACAGTAAACAGCCAGTGGGACCTGAACGGAATCTTTTCTTTGATGAAATAATGCAAAGCCGGCCCAAAGCCTGCCGTGGGCTAGCGAGCCTCTCCCAGGCCTCGAGAGCTGACGTCACTCCTTCAGACCCGAGCTCCAGGAAGACAGGTGGGCTGGATGCCATCGTCCCCTGAACGCTTAACTTCAAGGACAGATTTCGCTCCCTTACCTGTCATAGTGGCCATCGGAAGAACTGTGGGTTTTTGAGGGGTAGGTGTACGACCTAAGCATATGTTGAGAATTGTGGGGTGACATGAATCTGTGGGATCATACCCTAACTCCTGGCCCACCTCCTGGGTAGAGATAGGGAAAGGAAAGGGTGGAGCCTGGTCACTTTTGTCCCGGGCCAGGTCGGTGCTGGGCTGGTCCCTTTGCCCGAGGTCATAGGCTGGTCCCATTGCCCGAGGTCATAGGCTGGTCCCATTGCCCGAGGGCATAGGCTGGTCCCATTGCCCGAGGGCATAGGCTGGTCCCATTGCCCAAGGTCATAGGCTGGTCCCATTTCCCGAGGCTGCGGCCCCGGCCTCTCTTCCTGTTTCTGTTTTTGGTTTTCTGCTGCCCCGGCCTCTCTTCCTGTTTCTGTTTTTGGTTTTGACTGTGGCAGCCCCAGGCAGCCTGGGCTCGAGGAGCTGCCCTTCTCGAAATGCACGTGATGCAAAATGATCTGTAAACTCACAGCCAGGAAGTTTTAGAGGTGTTTGAAAAAACAAGGGTTTCTGCAGGAATATTTGGGAAACAGCCTTTTTCTCCTTCTGACGGAAATGACCAGACTGTTTAGGACTCCGCCCATCGTCTCCTCAGTTGCTGTCCGTCCCCTCAGGGCCCTCACCTGGGGACACAGACTTGGCCGGGTAAGGAGGCCAGACTCTGGAGTCCAGAACAAAGGGATTTCTGATTGTGGAAGTGATGTGTGTTCCTCATAAATAGCAATAGACATTCAGAAAATACCCAGAGATTACTTATTCATGATTAAAAAAAAATAAAGATAGGTTTGTCCTCTGAAGACATGTGGGCTGACAGGTGTCAGGCTGGCCCGTGAACTCTGGTATCGGCAAGCAGGGACCTGACCAGCGGGACACTCCCTTGTGTCATCGTCCCACCGGGCATGGCCGTCCGGTCCCCAGTCTTTGTCTGGTTGGCTCAGAGAAAAGAGGTGGCACTTGTGTGGGTTCTTGTGCCAACGTCGTCCCCAAGACTCGGCCGTAGGAAGGATCAGAAAGATGGTCGGGCTAGTTGAGGCTCCAGCCCCACAGCCACCCGTTTGTCCATCCAGCTGGCCAGCCCCAAAGCTCACAAGCATCTGCTGTGAACCAGGCACCTCCCTAGATGCTGTGAGCAGGACGGACACAGCCCTGCCTGTCGCCATGCGCTCTGCCGGGGGCGCACCCGCGATGCCCTGTGCCTTGTGCACCTGCCCACCCCCGACGGCCGTGCGTCCCCCCCATGGCTGTGCGTC